ACCCCTTCTTTACAAACCTAGCCCTGCCCACTTCCCATGTCCAATTCTATAGGTCTTGTTCCTTCCTCTCCACCACTTATAAATCATGAAAATCCCAATTAAATTTTATGAATTTACAGCCCAATACAGGTATTGAGAAATAGTATCAATTTTCCTAAGTATCAAAAATATTCTTGCTTTTTAAAGGACAGGTTGGAATAACAGCATGGTCTTAAGTGGAAGATAAACTGTATCTTCATAAACAATTATATTGGAATCATCTTGATAGGCTTTAAAATTAGTGATGTCCAGTCCTACCAGTAAGATTCTAATTTAACTGGTCCAGGCACCCAGATTTAATAAAGCTCCCAGATGATTCTGATCCAAGAATGAGAACTATTCAGAAAAAGGAGTAAGTTAAACAAAAGACAACATGGAAAGGAAGAAATCAGACAAAACTGGAATGTGTAACATTCTACAGGATAATTAATTCAGTCTCTTCAGTAAATCAATGACACAGAAGAAAAAGTATGCAAGATAAGAGGTTCATGATACCTCTAGAACCTCTGCAGTACCCTGGCCAGGTAGCTCAACTGGTTAGAGCATTGTCCCAATATGCCAAGGTTGCAGGTTCGATCACTAGTCAGGTCCCATATAAGAGGCAACCAAGGGCCCTCCATGGATTGAGCACCGGCCTGCAAAGGACAGGGTCAGTCCGATTCCCAGTCAGGGCACACCCCTGGGTTGCAGGCCAGGTCCCCAGTAAGGGGCGCATGAGAGGTAACCACACACTGATATTTCTCTCCCTCTCTTTCTCCCTCCCTTCCCCGTCTAAATAAATAAATAAAATCTTCTAAAAAAGCAACTGGAACAACAAATTGATATCACTCTTTTTAAAAAACATATATAATCAGTGCAATGCATAGACCTTGTTTGAAGCCCAATTCAAAGTAAATATAAAAAGACATCCAAACAAGAGAAAAATCTGACATCAACTACACCCACACACACAGTATCAAGAAACCATGGATTATTGTATACACATAACACTGGTACAATGGCAGCACAAAAAACTGTCCTTAATTTTTTAGAGATGTACTCTCTATAACTTAGGGATGAAATGTAATGTCTGAGATTTACTGTAAAATACTTCAGCCATGGCTAGTGTGGCTCAGTGTATTAAGCACTGGCCTGTGAACCAAAAGGTTGCCAGTTCAATTCCCAATCACATGCCTGGGAAAAAAGCTAGGTCTCCGGGTGGGGGGCATGTTAAGAGGCAACAGATTGATGTTTCACACACTGGTATTTCCTTCCCTCTCTTTCTCACTCTCTTCCCCTCTCTCTACAAATAAGCAAGTAAAATCTTTAAAAAAATACTTCAGCATGTTAATAAATAAAAAGAATGTCTGAAATTGGCTTCAAAACAGTACAACCTGGGGGAGAAAAGTAATAGATACAACAGTGTTTGAGAATCACTAAGACTGGTGGGTAATTCAGTATTCTATTTTTCTATGTTTGAAGGTTTGATAGTTTATAAGAATAAAAATATGTACCTCACAGAACCCAAAGCAAATATAGCAATTAGTAACGAATGTATTTATGGTAAGCTTTCTTTGGAGAGCTGGAAGCTACTCATATACCCTTGACAAAACAATTATACTCTTCTAGACAAGAAGCTCACCCTGTTCTACATAGTACTGGGATATGGGAGAGAGAGGAGGAAAAGAATACCCCACCAAAGACCAAATCAGGCAATGAGCAATGACATGTCATAGCCACATCACAGGAGTATATCACAGATTTTGAACAATTTTTAAGCAAAAATGCTAAGTGGGATTTTTGGCAATTCTAACAGCAAAAGCCAAAATATATGCCTATTTCCAGTAGGTATAACATTGCACTTACTTTAAAACATGAATAATGTTCTCTTCAGTAGCATGACTTTACTGTCATGTCAACACTTCTCTGCCTCACCAAATACTCTATTCTCTCTCACAAGACAACAGATCAGTCCTTTAAACATTTCCTTGCAAAACATCAAGCTCAATGAGTAAAAATTCTGCCACCATGCATTTTCCGAACTTTCTAGAAATTATTTGTTTTAAAAAATTTGCAACAGCCCTGGCTGGGCTGGTGTGGCTCAGTGGACTGAGCACCGCCTGGCGAACCAAAGGGTCGGTGGTTCCATTCCCAGTCAGGGCACATGCCTGGGTTGCAGGCCAGGTCCCAAGCCGTGGATGTGTAAGTGACAACCACACACCGATGCTTCTCTCCTTCTCTTTCTCCCTCCCTTCCCCTATCTGAAAATAAATATTTTTTTAAAAGTTTGCAATAGCCCTGGCTTGGTGGCTGTTTGTTAGAGCATTGTCCTGTACACCAAAAAGTTTCAAGTTCCATCCACATACCTGGTTGCAAGTCCTATCCCCAGTCAGGGTATGTATGGAAGGTAGGCAAGTGATGTTTCTCTTACATCAATGTTTTTTTCCTCTCTCCCCTTTCCCCTCTCTCTCTAAAATCAATTTTTTAAATAACATATCCTCAAATTTTTTTTTTTAAGTTTGCAACAAAAACCCCTGCCTGGTGTGGCTCAGATGACTAAGTGCCCGCCTGCAAACCAGGTCGCCAGTTCGATTCCCAGTCAGGGCACATGCCTGGGTTGAACCCAGCCAGGTTCCCAGCTGAGCGTGTGAGAGGCAACTGATAGATTTATCTCTCATACATTGATATTTCTCTCCCTTTCTCCTTCCCTTCTCTAAAAGCAAATAAATACCCCTGGCTGGTGTAGCTCAGTGGACTGAGCATGGGCTGTGAACCAAGGGTCACTGGTTCGATTCCCAGTCAGGGCACATGCCTGTGTTGCTGGCCAGGGCCACGTGAGAAGCAACCACGCATAGATGTTTCTCTCCTCCCTTTTCCCCCTTCCTACCCCTCTCTCTAAAAATAAATAAAACCTTTAAAAACTTTTTAAAAATAAATGTTTTGCAACAAAAAACCTTTCATAAGACAAATATTTAAACTGGCAATTAAAATAGAACCCCTATTAATCTGATTTTTTAATCTTAATACTTAACTGTTTATATACAGATGATGAATCTCCCTCGTTTTGTCCTTTTCATTTGATTCAAAAATGGTAATCAGCCCTGGCATGTTGGCACAGTTGGTTAGAGCATATTCCCAATACACCAAGGGCATGCCTTCAATACCCCATCAGGGCACATAGAAGAATCAACCAATGACCGTGGTTGGTGTGGCTCAGTGGATTGAGTGCCAAACTGCAAACCAAGGAGTCACCGGTTCCATTGCCAATCAGGGCACATGCCTGGGTTGCAGGCCAGGCGCCCAGTAGGGTGCACTCAAGAGGCAATCACACACTGATGCTTCTCTCCCTTTCTCCTTCCCTTCTCCTCTAAATATAATTTTTCAAAAAATCAACCAATGAATGCATAAATAAGTGAAACAACAAATCTTTGTCTTTTCAATCAGTAAGTTAAAAAAGGAGGGGAAGTGACTAGTATACTGAGCTCTGGCCTGGGAACCAAAAAGTCACAGATTCCATTCCCAGTCAGGGCATATTCTTGGCTTGTGGGCTGGGTCCCCTCTTGGGGTCCTGCAAGAGGCAACCTCACACAGGATGTTCCTCTCCCTCTGTCTTCCTCCCTTCTCCCCTCTCTAAAAGTAAAAGTAAAAATCTTTTTTTTAAAGTGGTAATCAAATCCTACAACTTCTGCTTCGGTATTGGGTGGGCCAAAAAGTCCATTATATTTTTTTGCATACGATGGCTGTAGTAGTGCTTGTATTGTGACAACTGTCATATATGGCATGCATTTTTAAAAATGTTAAAAAGTGGTAAATTTTTGTGCAGCCATTTTAACACTGAAGATGAAAGAAGATACACAACCTTTCGGCATAGCACGCTTTATTATTTTAAGAAAAGTAAAAGCACAGCATTTTGAAATGCAAAAAAGAAAATTGTGCAGTGTATGGAGAAGGTGCTGTAACTGACTGAACATTTCAGAAGTGGTTTGCAAAGCTTCTTGGTCCTACTGACATTTTGGGCAAATAATTCTTCGCTGTTAGGCTGTCTTACGCATTGGAAGATGTTTAGCAGCACGCCTGGCCTCTCCCCACTAGAAGCCAATAACGTGAGACAGCTCACATACACAAAATATCCAAATCCATAAAGTTACTGGTGAAAAGACGAAATGTGTCTTTTACACTACAAAAAAAAAAAAAAAATCACGGACTTTTTGGCCAACCCAATATTACAACTGTGATAAAAGTTCATTCAAGAGCTCTTTATTCAGTTGTCCTGCTCATACAAAATGCTTAACATGGCCCGGTAACTAAAAAACCCTATGTCTTCCTACACAAATTGACAGAAATAGAAACTGTATAGTTAGAAACTATATCACATCAAGTAAGTGACTATAAAAATTCATCAGTAAGTATTTTAAGGCCTTCAACAAGTGTGCAGTATAGAGCAAAAATTAATGAAGGCCTGGCATATTCTCACAGCGGAACTATTTTTTTATTTTTACTACGCTGATAAGGTAAAAGGAAAAAAGTGCCGAATAGGAACATTTCTCCACCTCTGTGGCACGAAAGGTTATTGCTGGGGAACAAGTGGTCTGGAGCCCTGGGCGTGGCCCCAGGAGGGTGACCAATCAGAGCTAGAGTTACAAGTCGGGTCAGGAGGCCCCGCCCCCGCGCACGCGCGCCCGGGCCTCACCGCAAGCGGCGCACCTGGAGGCGCAGCGCACCTGGGGCCCACCCCGCCGCAAACCGCCGCGCCCGGTAGCCCCCACCGCCGCCCCCGGGGCCGTTTCCTACCAAAACAAACACAGCCTCCCCCAAAGCAAAACAACCCTACCGCGGGAAGCCCACGGCCCCGGAGACGCCCCGGCCCCCCTCCCGCCCGCCCCAGAGCGCGGCTGGGTCACTTCGCCCCACGAGCCGGAGCCCCGAAAAGGGGGCGGGAGGCGGGTGCTCGGGACCCCGGGAAAGAAATGTCAAAGTCTCACCAATTCCTCGTAGCTCCTGCTGTGCTCATTGCCCTCCCAATCCAACCTCTTCGGCAGCAACTGCAAAGACACGAAATGCACCCAAGTGACCACCGCGTGGGTCCCGGGTGGAGGGAGGCGGGCTGGGGGCCGCGACGCCGGGGCTGCAGGCAGCGGGGCGGGCGAGCGACCTCGGACGAGGCCGGGAGAGGGAACGGAAGGCCGGGGGCGGGGGCGACGCGATACACAGACCTGATACTGCTCCAGCTCCTGCACCAGCACCTGCAGCCGACGAGACGCGCAGTTAAGAGGGGCGGCGGCCGCACCCGGTCCACCCCGAGCCCTCCTCCCGGACCCCAGGCGATGGCGAGGCCGGGCCGGGGCCGCAGCCGCCGCCGTCCGCAAGGCCCACACTCACCTGGGCGGCTCTCCGACACGGGCCGGCGGACAGGTACCGGGCGATTAGGAAGTACAGCTCTGAGGGAAGAGAGCGAGTCGGGTCAGGAGCTGGCGCGCCGTGGGAAGGGGACCGGGACGGTGGCGTCGCGGGGAGGGCTTGGGCGACGCGTCTTACCCGACTCGATGAGGGGCACCGGGCGTCGGGCTGGCGAGGACTCCGCCATGGCCAGGCGTGGGGTGAACAGCAGGAGCGAACCAGCGAGCGAAGTGTATAGGCCGTGCCGAGGCCTGACCGGGCCAGCGTCCCTCTACTTCAGGCGCGCCGCCGCCGCCACCGCCATGTCGTGCGCGCCGCCAGTGCCGATGCCTCCGCAGAAGTAGTCCCTCCGCGGAAGGAAAAGTAGTCCACTGAAGGGGCAGCCCGACGCCGCTGGGCAATGCGTGGTCGAGCCAGGCCGGGAAGAGTGAGCCTGGCCTCTCTGTCCTCCGTCTCAGACGGTGCCGGGAGGAGAATGTAGAGGCAAAGGTCCGGTTCAGGGTCTGCGGTGAGTGGGGGAGGGGTGGCGCGTGTCGGATCCCTGCGCGCTGTGAGGCGCCGGCGCGGCGGCCCAGCTGCGCGGCGGGGCGGGCGCAAGGGGCGGAGGTCCGGCCGCCTTCTGGGCGGGGGCCCAGCTGGGGGCCGGGGTGGGGGTGGGGAAGGGTCCTGGCGACCCCGGCAAGACGTGAGGCCTTGGGACTCGCAGCAAGCCAGCCGGGGTCGCCTTCTTCGGGCTTTCGGAAGGGACATTTCACGGATGGTCATCTGGGTCCAGAGTATTCCCCCCTTGATCCCCCACGAAAATTGCTCGCTTAGAAGACGCGAAACCTTGAAAACTGAGAATCGCGCCAACCTCAAAGGAGAGAACGGCCCGAGAAACTTTCCCCAGGGAGGGGAGGAAGAAGGCGGGGAAGCTGCAGGTTGGGAGGGGGAGTGTGGGCAGGGGTCCGCGGAGTTCGACCCTCTGTCGTTGGGAGGGCACAGCGAACGTTTGCGGAGAGTCCACGTTGCCACATGCAGTGGTAGAAGTTAGGATAAATAAGACAACCGAAGTCCTTGGAAAACCCAGTAGGCTAGTGGAGAGAAAGGGTTAAGAAAATGCAGCACAGCCAGAGGATGTAAACCTGGCTAGGCCGGGAAAGCCGCCCAGAGCGTTGCCTCCATGGATAGGAAAGGGATGGGAGGAAGCGGACAGCATTCCGTTCCAAGGGAGAGAAGCAGGAAACTTGGGGAAACGCAGGGGGAACCATATGTAATTAGGATATTCTTAGAAGACAGGATTTGAGGCTGGAGCAATGGACAAAGGCCGAAAACATTCCTTTAATTGCCATGCTATTCCTGCCTTCACGGAATACACATTGTTCTTCTGATCCCCACCCGGTGTGTATAGAAAGGGATTCCAGGCATATGAACAGTAGGTCACGAGATGAATAGTTTAAGGAACTCAACTTTAGTGTGACAACCTGGGGTGACTTTGGAGGTGTAGATGGGACCCAATCAGTCAGAAGTTAAAATTGGGAGCAAGTGAAAGGTTCTAAGGTAGCTTTAGTTTCAGAATAGGTCTAAGAGGGTTAAAACCAAGAGGCAGGAAAAGCACTTAGTAGACCCCTGAAATAGGAAAGGTGTAGATGCATTAAGGCAAGAGCTATAAGGATGGAGAGGAATAAACGGGATCAGAACTGAGTATGGGTTCAGTCCACAAGATGAGGTTGGGTGCAGTGAGAAAAGTCACCAAAAAAAATCTCAGTTTGGTCTTAGTAGGTCAAGGTTGCGTCGACAGCTGAGGTAGGGCACACAGGCTGGAGCTAAATCATTCAGATGGGTAACTACTTTGGAACAACTTTATTATTTGAAGTTCCCAGCATGTATTCCTGTGAGGCAGTTCTGATTTGCTACTACAAGAATACCACCAAAGTTAGCAGATGAAAAAGACAAAAGAAAAAAGAGAATTGAAACCTTCAGAGACTGACCAAGGAGTTGCATATTTCATTATAGAACAATACGATAAAAGTAAGAGAGATAGCCCCCAAAACATGTTATAAAAATGCATATCCCCAGCCCTGGTCATTATCCAAAACTATAGTTCTAGTGTGGGCAGCATAGTAACCACAAGAGATCAAGAATGATGACAGGAGAGTTTGTTTGGGGTTTTTTTGTTTGGTTGGTTGGTTGGTTTTGGTTTTTTGCAAGAATTCTAGTGGTTTCAACTTACTCCATGACAAATACTGTTACTAGATTTGAAATAGAGATAGATTTCTTACAAGGCAGAATGTCTTCCCCATTCAAGTCTCAAGTGACAGAGACCCATACTTGACCCCCCTCTGCTGCCAATGAAGAGGAGGAAAGCGGAGTGGTGGGCACCTGCCAGACGTGATCTCCAAACAAGGCGAGAAGAATCATGTATGTGTCCCTCACACCTTTGAATCCAAGCCATTCCAAATGAACACAGTAAGTTTTGCTTTTGGGTCAATGGAAATAACTTGAATTTCACCACAGGAAAGCTATGTGGAGAGCTAGGCTATTGAAAAGTTGTTTGGGAAGCAAAGGTTGGAAGATCTTAATGGCTGGTGACACCAGCTATATGCTGTCACCCATCTCTGCTATAAGGGAATGACGATACTTTAGCAACCCCTCTCCTGGATTAACATCACCTATACTCACACAGCTCTTAGTTGGGTGCCATTAACACGCTCCACAGCTGAGAGAGCTGCGGCCCAGAGAGACTGAGAAGGGTCCCGGGGCATCCAGCCAGGCTGCATGCCAGGAGAGGAGGGTACTGCCTTAGACTGCAAAATTCTTCCTCCCTTCTCCCCTTTTCACAAAGGAGGAAGTCGGGGCCTGAAAAGGAGAGGGCTGAATGAAGATCACGCAGCTAGCTAGTACGTGAGAGAGCGAATCTGGAATATTCGTGCCCTAAATGCTGGGTAGTCACATCGCTGACAACTTGGAGTGCAGACTCTGTTATTCTCATTTTCATAATTTTAAGGATGAGGAAACTGAGGCTTTGAAAGTTTAAGAAGTTGCCCAAGAATGAAAAAAATTTTTTAAGTGAAAAAGTAGAATTCACTGGGTTGTTCCAAGTCAGGACTTAGGGAGGCCCAAATGCATTAAGTGGGAGATCTTATCTGGAAAATGGTAAGGAAGGCAGTCTGTTTCCAATCATTCACATAGGAGAGTGGTCAAAAATAAGGATTAGAGAGTAGATTAGGGTCAATTTTGAAAGAGTTTGAAAAGTAAATACCAGCAGTGGGGAGAACGTTATGCCAAATTCAAATTCTGACATCAGTACGCTGATGCAAATGTTCACGCACTGAATTTAGGTTCATCCAGCAGGTGTTGTTCACCCATGCACAGTATGTCAGCATAGTTCGGAGGGACATAAAGAAAGTAGATGACAGCCCTGGCTGGTGTGGGTCTGTGGACTGAGCACTGGCCTGCGAACCAAAGGGTCACTGGTTTGATTCCCAGCCAGGGCACGTGCCTGGGTTGCAGGCCAGGTCCCCAGTGGGAGGCACACGAAAGGCAACCGCACATTGATGTTTCTCTCCCTCTCTTTCTCCTTCCCTTCCCTTCTGTCTAAAAATAGATAAATAATATTTTTTAAAAAAACGTAGACACTGAATCTGCTGATCTACATGGGCAGCTGAAGTCAAGGGCACGCTATACCTGCCTCATTTCATTTATTCAACAAACTGAAAGCCTTCTCTACGGCAGGCGCTGTGGTGCATACACTGACTTCTGTCAGATAAATCCCCAAGGGAAAGAAGAGTTGACATCTTGATAGAGTTCCAGAGGACTTCAAAAGAAAACAAAATGAGTCTGACTTCTTAAGCCCTCAGTCACTTGCAGAACTCGCATCTGATTCCTGAGGCCCCTCCTCCATCCCCTCCTTGGCTTTCCCTCAAGACCTTTTCTTCCCTTTAACCTAACCAGCTGTCCCCTGGAGACTACTTGTCCCCGCCTCCCTCAGCAAATTGTTTCCACTTTTATCTCTTCCTCTGGAGCTTTGGCTCTCCCTTGTCACTCATCGTCTTCTGTCCCCACGTGCTTGCACAGGGCAGGCGTTGGCCCAGGCCTGTCTCCAGGTCTCACCAGTTGTCCCTTTGCAACGTTTCTCACCACACTGGAGAGGACGTAGTGTGGTGGACCAGACGCTGGGAACGTGGGAGCTGGAACCGAAATATGTCTGCGTCTGAACACCACTGACTGGTTGAGCAACCTCTCTGTGGCTCAGTGTTTGTTTTTGGTTCTTATCCATCATCGTTTCAATGGGGGTAACTAATCTAGTGAGTGTTTCTGTATCCTGGACACTGCTCTCAACCTTACTCCATCCTCACGAGAGAGCTAGAACACAGGGGCCGTTTTGTGAGCCTCTCCGCTCCGGAGAGAATGCCTGCCCGGAAAGTCCGAGAGCAGTGCCTGGCTCTCAGCAGGACCCTGCTGCAGGACAATGATTCTTTTTCTCTAGTTCCCCGGTTATCAAAGAGCCTCTTCAAAAGTCTCCTAGGCTCCCTACCTAACTAATCCTATGCCTTTAAATTTCCTTAAGTACAATTCAACACATTCTCTCTTCACCCTTTCTAGTTCCCTATCACCTAATCCCCAAATCCTGGCTTGTTTTTAAAGCTGCACCCCTGCTGCGTCCCCAGCCTGAGGGCACTGGGCTGTGGACTCTCTTGCCCACAGGCCTTGTCCCCTAGGAGGCCCCAGCAGGAGGTCGGATGGGTGGGAGGGCAGTGAGGGTAGGTTTCTATCTTCCCCGCTCCTTTCACGGGTCGGCCGGGGCTGCTGATGCTCTGCTGCAGGCCGCCGTCCGGAGGGACGGCCCTCTCTCCACACAGACCGCTCTGAGTTTTAACATCCCTCCCTCCCCTGGCCCCTCAGCACCCAGACTTCTCTTCTGAGGCAGAGGAGAGCCGTCCGTTGCCCCATAACTCGGCCCACATCCTCGCCAAAGCCAGCTAGCGACGTTAACTCCGCTCAGGGATCCCTAAGGATGTGCCTTCTGTTTTCTGCCTGAACCCAGGAGGAACTGAAGCTCCCCCCCCCCATGAGAACCCACGTCTGTCTGTCCAGAACGCCCTCTCTCCAGTTCTCTCTCCCTCTGTGCTCCCCCTCGCCCTGGTCTCTACAGCGTGTCCTCTCTCTGGGAAGGACCCACCCAGATCCCTGTGCTGCTTCCTTCCCAGACTCTTTCCTGAGTCACATTGGCCCCCGTTGGTCCCTGTTCAAAAATCTTAAAATCGCCTCTCTTTTAATCACATATGCAATTCATCAGTGAGCTCTAATGAGCTCGCCCTTCAAAATACAGGGTCCGGGAGAACTAACACCTGCCTGAGAGTGGTTGGTAATAATGTGGGTGTAATAATTGATAGTTTTAATTTGAACATTTCACCTCAGATGTTATATGGTGTGCTTGAGCGTGATATTGTTATATTACAGAACTGCATACTTACGATTTTGTAATAAAAGAGGAGCGTTATTTGTGTTGGACCCTATATAGCTAGAGTGGAAA